TCTTAGTTGTTGAAGGTCTTTCAAATGGTAGTCAATTCCCGTCTGTTTTTTTGCTTACGTAGCTGGAGAGGCGTGGTACACCAGTGAGCGCATGGATTGACGGGACACTTCCCAATTTTCAATGCTTTCGATAAATTCATTTTCCAATTGTTTGATATCTGAATTCACATTTTGATCGTTCCATCTTTAATCAAGAATTGTAGTAATTCCTAATACAAATGATTTGATATATCAAAAACACTCGTAACGTCTGCGATTACAGACATTAGTGCAGCTAGCTTCGCTTCTTAAAAATATTTTCAATGTCTTTTACCTTCTTAAGACACTTGCAACAGGTACTGATTACTTGCATTCAAGGACACTTTCCCAAATACAACCATGAGATTGAGATGTGAGTCCATAGGGTTGGTGTTGTAAATTCGAGTTTAATATCAGATGACGTTATTGTCGTCAAAGTACCGTCAAGCGACGAGGCTGACTAATCCCTCCGAAATAAAGCCTCACATGCTGTGGCGAGGCTATCTTCATATCGGGAGCCCCAAGTTACCATCATCTACATTACGAATTCTTTTTTTGCTTCCATTACAATGACTTCTCTCTGCTTCATTGATAAATCGGCAAATTCTTTCTTTGAGCCGTGAACATTCTCAGATCGAAAATAGCGCTGTATGATTGAAACGCCGGACAACTGAGGAACCATTGAAGCATTTTCGACGTCGAACACTACATGATGGCTCTCGACGCACAGAGTAATTGGAATGTGGAGATGTCGCAGCCTCTTAAGTTATCCATTAGATCACAAAATTCAGAGCCTATGCTGGCTCCCGAATCAATGGCAGAGCTTTATCGCAAAGCTCCCGCGCAAGAGATCCTCCTCCCGATGGAGATCATTTCTCAGATCCTCTCGTATATTCCCAATCGTGTGGACACCCAATACACTTTCTACTCCTGCGCACTGGTATCTAGGCTCTGGTATTCGGCATCGATCTCTACTCTATATGAACGACCGTATCTTAGTGGCGCAAACTTCAATAGCTTTGTTGCCACTGTTTGCCCCTCTAAAAATGCACATATACGGCAATCCGCGCTTGCACCTCTGGTTCGCCGGCTTGATATGGGAGGGTTGGTGCACAATAGCTCTAGGAGCTTGACTGCACGACTACTAGGCCGATTAAAGGGGAATCTCGTTGAATTTGTGGCACCACAAGCCTCTTTCGCTATCAATTCCTTCCCCGCTCTCAGCAAATGTACCCACCTCCGATACCTGGACCTCTCCTTGATCTCCGCTTCGATATCGACCCGCTTACTATTTCAGACTCTGAAGACACTGCAAGAACTGGAAACATTACTTTTCCCACGGACTTCCAACAGTGACCAAGACAGAATTGATGAAGTATATGAGTGGCCACCGAAGCTACAAGGTCTCCATTTAGCAGGGGGAGTCGATGACCACTTTCTCCGAACTCATCTTCGCCATGTCCCATCGACACTTTCACGTTTCAGTATTCAACACTGCAGTATGGTATATGGCCCTGCACTTCTAGAGACTTTGGAGCACCTAGGACCTCAACTGCAACACCTAACAATCCGACACCCGATGAATCGTATGGGTGTTGGGGCCTTGGACTACGTGCTTTTGATGTGCTCCTCCTTAACTGCTTTTCGAATATCTGCCGATTTCATTACAGATGCATTGTTTGAGAATATACCCGTCGGCCATCCCTTGCGAATATTGGACTTGGATTGTAGCGGCACAGCAGGCACAGAGGTTGATATTACTGCAGGGGCAGTTTATGATGCCGTGGAAGAAGGAAGATTGCCATTTTTGAGAAGCGTAAGGGTTAGCTCTAGGTTGGCTTGGAATGCAACGCAGAGTGGAAGACAGGATATAATAGATTGTAAGTCCCCATTTACTTTTACTTTGTGACTTCGTGTAGAGGCCAACACTAATACGCCTTGCAGTAGTGGAAACAATGGAGGATCTCGAAAATGAGACTCCACTTGGAATAGAGCCAATAGGTGTCTGGTTTTCAACGGATTGATGAGCTTGGTGGTGATTTCCATCGACCCATATTCGAAGTTGGTACAGGCAGTCAAGCATCACAATAAGTTATTTCGTAGCACCTAGGACACGATGCCCAATATCTTAAACCATCTTAGCAAGTCGCTTACAAAAGGTTTTGGATCGTAGCATTTCATTGAATACTCCCTGTGTATCTCCTGGATACCTCGTATCATAAGTGTGTCACAAAATGTTAAACCATGTTTGACTGAGGTATGTCGCTTACAACAAATGTGGTATATGATGCCCCTTAAAAGTTCTATTGGCCTTCTCCTTATTTGGATGATATGATTGAAACTAATGTTTACCCGAGGAACAAATAGCCAGTATTACTACCCTCCTGAATTTGGGGTGCATGCTACAATTCAGAGAATATATGTATGGCATTTGGCACTTGGACGCCACGCTCAAGTGATGTCCAAATACTATGATGGCGAGCGATGGCAATATTTGGGTGGACTTGGGGTATTCACAGAGTTTTCACAAGGTATAGTCTAGCGAAATAGCCATTGAGACAAAACACGAGCTATATTCCGCAAAGCTATATTCTGCAAAACTATTGTCTGGTCATCCATCTCGTCAATTCATTTCCCTCATAATCCTTTTTAGCCTGTCAAACTCATCCACATCAACGTTCATTCACAAATAGAACATTCCGCGTATTATTCTCAAATTTTTGTGTGATGACCTCCCGTCTCGTTACAGGAGCCAAATAAAATCATGATACATTCATATCAACCCAGAACATCGAATGCATCAGTATCCCACAAGTTTCTTCTTCGCGGCGCGCAATATGGCTACACTCTGATCCCAAACATTATCTGGTCCAGGAGCTTCTGTGTACTCTGTATCTGCGACACGTTCAAGCTCAACTTCCCACATTCGCTTCTGGTAGGCCTCGAGAATCCTGTTTCAGCGTTAGCACAATTGCATTTAGTCAATTCGAGATGAATTTGCAAACGTACTCCCTCTCGAGAGCTTCTTCTCTGACTCCTAAGACGAAATATGGATCCTCGACGTACACCTCTTCAGTGTCTTGTCCCTTTGAAGGCACGTTTGAAAGTGATTGTTGAAGAGCGACAACACTATGGATAAAGCCACCCTTCTCGACTTCTTGTAGGGGTGCATCTGCCAACACCGCACCAAATGGGACTTGAGAAGTCGAAAATGAGCCGAGGTTGGTTGTATTCGAAGAATCCAAGATCCCGATGCTCTGCTGCATGTTCTGCTCTGGTAGTTGCTTTCGGCTGACAGACAAGCATTGATTATGTAGATATGAAGACAGGGAATTATTGAAATCTGTGCCTGCAGTTTTACTTTGCGAGTTGGCAGCCCCATTTACACCGAAAACTGGAGATCGTCCTCGAGGTCTGATTGGTGTGCGTGGCGGTGATTGTCTTTGTTGTCGCAATGGGCTTCTAGATCGACCACGTACTTGACGAACTGGGGAGACCTGTCTCTGAGACCTGAACCGTCTTTCCATTGGTGGCGGCGATTTTTGACGGATTGGTGAACGAGATCTACCCCGCTTTACCTGCTCTCGCCCAGGGGATCTGTTTAAATCAATGAGTCGGTCTTGGCGATTCATGATAGTTACTCACCTAGATCTACGGCGAGTCATTCTCTCTGCCAAAGGTCTGCCTCTTAATTCTTCGCGTCGGAAATGATGCTCTACACAACCTTTGTAGATACAATAATCATCGATGTAAATATTGCAGCTTGGGGAAGCCTTCAATGCGTTAAGAACTTTTGTCCTAAAAAGAAGCAACGTCAAGGACATTCTCAGATGATGAATTTAATCGTCGAATGTGTACTCACCGAAGTGCAACATCAGTGCCCAAGCCATGATAATCACACCATTGACGAGTTCCTGGTAGTGCTTGATCGCGAGGCCATCTTGTGCGACGACGTGGACAATAGCGCTCTATGTGGTTGTAATCATTACAACGCCAGCATTGTCTTGGAGCATCACGACAATATCCGTAATGGAAACGGCGACAATTTTGACAGGGCGCCGGAACCTGAAATTGAAAATTGAACATCTTATCTTTTGACTGAGGATCTTCAGATGAACCTTCGAAGTTGTGCAGATCGAAACGTTGAAAGGTGCTCACGGAGAGTAAAAAGGGAGTTATACTCGCATTTGACAGCAGTGAGACTGATCATTTCCGGATGAGCAGATCGACGTTTACAATCGTTAAATTCAATGACCTGAAGAAATATAGAAGCTATCGACTACTTGTGTAGTTACCAAAGTTAAAGAGTACTGGGTATACTCCACCAAGCAGGCAAAGTGAAATATCTCAATGACAGGGTAAAGTAGAGAAGGAGCGACAACAATGGAAGGTGCGATCAATGGCAAAACACGTGATTTACCCCCCCCCCCCCCCTCGACTCCTGATTCTTTGGCAGGACCAGTCAAGAAAGCTATTATAGCACGTCCCAACTTTAAATTTCACTACATACTCGTTTGACGTTCGCTTTTCGATGTTCCCAATCGCTAGAAACTTCACACGTCATTTTCATTGAGGTGAGATTGCGCAACACTCACTCAGATTCGTCCCTTGTCGCAGCGCATCTGCTATTATTCAAACCATTCGGCGATACAACAGAACTTTACTGTCTTTAACCTACATGATCCGCATGGTTGTCGAAAGCTGAAACATATCTCCACTCTACAAACTCACTTTGGCTCAAATCGCTTGCTCAGCTGCTGCTGCTACCACGAATTCTACAAGATTCACACTTTCTAGTACACTGCAATCATTGAAACTCTTATATGATCTCAGACGAGTAAAAATCTAAAATTATCAGTTTTTCGCCATACAATTACAATATCATATGCTTATCATTTGGGAACAAGTATCTTTATATTGCATCCTGGTTTAACACAGCTTCACTTGAAGTTTCAGACGGCTGCCGGTATAGGGGATACATGATGACACCGCTTGCTCGGGTTGCAGATTTTAATCCTGACTGTAAGACTCCTGAAAAACACCAGATGTATTGCCCAAGGGACTCGAAGAAACAGGGCCAGATATTGAGAGATGTTCTACCGAGCGACCAGAGTCTATTTGACCGCAAGGCTACACTTGCAGGGGATAATCGCATATTCATCGATCTCACTCGAATCTATGAACATGTTTCTGATGGTCCAGGAGAGAAAACCCACGAAGGTTCAATCTCTATAGTACGCGGTGCTCAAGGATATCACCGTTTGCCTTTGGCAGACATTACTCATCAAATAGTATCAATCAATTTAGTGGTCTTGCCAACTTACGAAGATTTAGTTGTATCTTTTCCTCCAGTCTCTCCATTTAGAGTCTTTGAAGACCTATGTGAGGTGCAGTTGTGGAAGGCAAGAGGCAAAGATTCGGAAACTTCGCTGGACGTTGGCAATTTTACAGGCAAATCCACAAGTGTCGATGCAATCGATTTGAGTCAAGACTCAGAAGACGAAACAAGTGAGCAGTCATCAACTTTTCCGGAAAGCATTCAGTCAAGCCCGTTGAGAAGTTTTCAAGATCGGTTGTTCGCATCTAACAAAATCAGCAGTTCTTGCAATGCTGGATCTGTCACAGCTGTCTTGCATCTAGCTGATAAACCAGATCAAAATTCACCGGGTAACAAGCTGGAATGCCGAGAAAGAAAGCGCATTATTGTGTCGTCGACTCGCAGGCCTCTTCATGTTAAAAAGTCCATGCAGATATGGTTAGAATCAACTAATCGTCTGCTCGATCCATTCAGAGAAGACGGCGAATGCTGGTTTCACCCCGCACCACCGCCTCCTCGCATAACTCCTATCAGTACATGGCGTGCTTGCGGCAATATACAGAAAGCTTTCAGCTGGCAAGATCACAATGGTAAACACAGTCTAGTCTTAAACTTTGGTATGGTTTCCAAGATTCTCTTTCACACAATGACGAAACGACAGAAAGATGGATTCGTCAACAAGAAGTGGCACCTCAGCCATCTTTGTGGGAATTGGACATGTTTGAACCCTAACCATACCACTGTTGAACCTGGTAATGTTAACATTAGCCGAAACAGTTGCTTTTCCCATAGAGGCGGTTGCTCACATGAGCCCAAATACATGAAGGAGAAAAAAGCCAACCTGAGTGCCAAAGGCATTCCCATTTATCATAATGACGAGATCATGCAAGGTGCCGATGCCCGTCCTAGTAGTGGAGAAGTTTAGGACTGGAGCATGCAAAGTTTTGATGTTGACCACAATTCGTTTGAGCATGAAATGTTGCTCGTCAATTGGTTTTGAAAGAGATTCATAATTTCGGGAAGTTACAGGGCGTGGGACTGGCTGCAGGCAAAGAACAAAGACGTGCTTGCAACAAATATATCGTGCATCATTCGATACCGCCATCTTATCTACCATTATATCCGAAAACATCTATTTTAGCATTTAGACACTTTCCCATTATTTAAGTTTATTCATTCTCTAGAATATCACAGATCACTATCTAGAATCTCAATCTTCAATTTTTCATCATTTTTTTATTTCTATTGCTTCGATCCATTGAATTAGATGACGGTATGTAACTGTAATTTTAGATATGAGGCCCTCATCGTGCATGTAAATAGCTGCTAGCGTCTCCCGTCCTCTGGTTACATATTTCGTATCACTCCTCTTTATACATAAGATATTTTATTCAATGGTCTAATTATTTGACAGGAAACACATCAATAACAGAATAAAAATCTTCCAGAGAATTGTTATCTCAACCGGAAGAAGCAGACCGTTAATTATTCTTAGCTTGCCAAGTAAGGCAGATTCGTCAAGAATACAATCGGCCTATTGAACTTTCTAGATACCAATGAATCATATAACTTAGATCAATTTAGTTGCATAATATATCAAACTATTCACAAGAAACGCTTGGATCCGGTAAGAAAGCTATTAAATCTATTTTATTGTTTATAATCCTTGTTACATACTATCACTAAAACGTGCTTATAGTATCATGATTCCTCGCTAGATTGAAGAGCATAATCCAGAAGTTATAAAAGGGCCTGGCATTATCCCTTCAACACTTTCGTTCAGATCTTTTGATCACTTGCATCAACCTGTTCATTTTTTCTTTGTCTTTTCGGAGGCCTTGGATCATTAATATCGCTGACGATGTCGTCAAGATTGCAAGCACAATCTATACTTTCTAAGAAGAGGAGCAGGAGCAAGACAGCATCAAAAGGCAAAGATAAAAGGATCCGGGATTTATACAGATCTTTAGGATTTTACCCTGTTGCTGACTCGGAGTTAAAGAAGAAGATCAGCGTCTTCACGAAATCTTTAAACATTACACCATTAAAAGTCATGTCGAAGGAGCACCCGGAGGCGCAAAAATTGGCAGAATCCTTTTGTGCAGACAAGGAAACAGTTCAATTTCTATGGCCAGATGTTGGAGCTAGCAATCATCGTCGCCGACTTGTTTGGGAAAATGATAAGATGAAGTGAGCGTCTTGCGATTTCTTTAGTATGGTAACGACGACTAAATGATTTATGGCTAGAATTTTGAAGTTACTTACCCACATTTTTGCATTGAAGATGCACTACTTTTTCAGAAATCTTCGGCAAAAGGTTTGTGCAACCAGTGTAAGTTTCGTTGCTCATCTATTGTTTAACTAATGCTTCGATAGGAAGCACCACAAAACACTCTGGGCGGTGGACGAGACCTAGATTCCGACGACGAACCCTTGGTCACTCTGGGGCATCAAGGTCTATCAATGCGAAATCAACACCTAAAGGCTGGCCAAGAATGTTCAAAAGCTGGCAAATTTTCTAGTACTATCGCTGGATCTCCAGCAATGAGCTCGAACAGGCGAAACATTGACGAGAGTAAACTGAGAGAACTGAAGTATGTCAAAAGGTAACTCGGCAATCTCCCGGTGGAAATTTTGAAGTATTTTTGAGCTAATCGTTGTTGTAAACAAGGAATACCAGTCATCGAGAAAAATGCAGCGCTCATATAAGGCACATAAAGCCAATAGATGACAAGAAGATGATGGCTGAATTTATTTCGCCACAATGGTTGGAAAATGAGGAATTCTCCTGGGTAGCCCCAGGAGGCCTTGAGCCTGATTCATATATTTTCAGATTTATGCATGGATTCTTGTATTACAATTCAGATCAGAACATGAGTCTGATGAATTTTGTTCGCCTCTTCAAGAACGAGCCAGTAATTGCAAACAAGATACATTACAAGACGTTAAAAGGTCGTCTCCAAACCCGGGTAGGAGAGTTGGCTGATGCATTACTTGGTGAGAGATTATTGTTCCGCAATCGCAGTAGCAACAAAATATCACGAACACAGGAATTGGACGCAGCTTGGGATCAGAGATTGACCATTTGGGACCAGCCTTCCGAGGAAGCCAGGGAAGAGGTCGAGTCATCAACCACACAACGTCGAGATGTTTACGAAATGTCTGTGTCTCCAGATCGCAATGAGTTTACAACCAAATGCCAACAACGCTCGTCAAATCCCAAAGTTCCGATGGATCTATCACGAAAAAGAACTTTCCAATCAACATCACTGAGTGGTTATGCGGATGAAGAAACTACCGCAGCAAAGCGTCGAAGACTTTCAACATTCAATCAAGATCAATCTTCCATCATGAAGGAAAAAGACAAAGGGGTAGATGGAGGTCAAAGTAACTCGAACGAGATATCTCAAGGCGAAATAGGCATTATGCAGCGTCATAGCTCATATCAGTTTGGGAGAACTTCTCAATTTCTTGAAGTAAGATATTGATTCATTATCATAGTGAACCATTCTAATCAATTTATAACTCAGGACGATTTGGCACATGCCACGGCAACAAAAACTCCCACTACCATGTGCAATCCTGAGATGAGCAACTCCAAGTTGAATTTGACGGGACCAATCAGTACTACAGCTATAGTAAGCGGAGCTACAATCAAACCAGATCCCAATCCAGCTTTAAATCCGCGCAGCGGATTCCTGTCATCCCACTCAGCATTTTCCAATCGTTTTCCCTTACAATCTCGACCAGTCTCCACAGACCCTAGGCTCTCTCCGCTGTTCACTACACCACTTCAACCCATAACTCAAATGGCAGGCGAGCCAGCATCCGAGGATGATCTTCCACTTGCCACTTTCTCGAACGACATAAACTTCATTTTTCTGTCGAAGCAAAACTTCGACTATGAGAATCCTCTGAAAGTCAATATCAAAAACCTCGAGGATTTTTCGCTATCATCCTTTATTTCGCTTTTTGCTCAGAGGTCAGGTGTCGATATCCATAAAGTTGACGGGTTGAAATTCACAATTATACTAGGTGATGATCGGCTGGAGAAAGTGATGAAGGGAGATGAGAGAAAGTGGGAGAATATAGTAGAGATTATCAGAGATCTGTGGAAGTATAGTAAGATACAATGGCTTAATGGTACGAAGTTGAAGAGCAGGGTCTGTAGGATATTGACTGAGAGGATACACACTCGAGCATTGTAATGTTGACTTGATGGGAAACGTGTTTTCATGGAGTCTTTATCAAGAAGAGATTTTTCTATCGAATAAATATTCTTAATGAACTTTGGCTCTACCATGAAAATCTCCAGCTTATGATTTCCTTCCAGATACTCTAACATCTACATGTAGTATTTTGAAGATCAATAGAGCGATTTGAAAAGAGAATTGCAGGACCTCGGAGTCTTAATTGTTATCTTCTCTTCTTATTTGTCTACCTCTCGGGGCATTCGTTATAGAATTATCGTCATATTGTCCTATTAAAAAAAGAGAAAGCCTAGAAGATTTCTTAAGTGTAGGGGAGTATCCTCCAACTCAAATATGTGCAGTATTAGCTGAAAGTTTCGAGGAAACCTGAAAGTGGAACATTGCCATTCTGTTCTGATTCGAGGATAACTCAAAAGACGACTCTTGAACACGTGTTAGTCCTGATTGAGTCAACTCATTCTTCCTCTGAGCTCCTTGCCAGGCTACTAAGCAGTATTCCAGTAAGTTGATATGTTAAATACAAAGCAGTTTACTAAGACTCAAGCCAGTTCTGTAGTTTGAGAAATGTGGTGGTAGGACCGTCTCATATTATTAAATATTCACCCGTTGTTGGTAGATTCGATCGATTATCTCTGAAATCAACTCTACTCATCTGGTTACACTGCGTGAAGACTAACCTAGCCATATTTTTTCTCAACAGCAGCAAGTCTAACCCGCAACCGTAGAATCAATGCATAGCCGAGAAAAATTAAAATTATTTTAAGCCAATCTGATCAATGATATGATTATCTTGACAATCCTCAACTGGAAGGCTCTTATAAATAGGTATGCTCAAATATTATATGATTGAGTCATGCATCTTGCAAGGTTGTTATATTGAGATATCCTTCCCTGCAATCTTCATGAATACCGACATATTGTCAATTCGTATTCGCCTCTTTCCCCTGGCAGACATACGCACGCACACACAATTTCAATTACTCACGTTACCAAACTTGATAATCCCTTGGATTCGTCTGAAATTTGCATAAAAATCTCTTCCACTCATAACCATCTGTTTTCTTCGTCCCGTATATGAAATCCAACAGTTAATTGGTAAAATGATCACGCGAACCAGGAATCGTGCATATACATATATTGGTCCTGTACGTGTTACACACCATTTCCGGATGAGGTTGCCTTTACGCGTATTGTTCGTTAGGCAGACGATGGATTCGTCATATTTTCATGCTGCTGGGCATCAACTGTTGGTTTCATGTACGCTGAGATCTTGAAGAGGCGCAGAATATTAAATCACCAACATTTTAATTTATTTAGTAATCCTTCGATGTAACGGCATAACATAATAACGGAGTTCGGCTAACGGCTGTAGACCCCGTTACATCAACGTTTATCGGCTAAATTGCATTTCGGATGCAAGTCTTACCTTCGGCGTTTTTTCAAAACATCAACCTCGGGAAGGCTGCCGGAGGCGTAAAATTGCTGACTTTGGCTTGGATGTGGCTTGTAGTGAGTGTGATTTAGAGGTGGAAGGCAATATTCTAAATGTGGGAGATTTCATAGGTAGGCTCAGATCAAACTATCCACATTCAGATGAGATTAAGATAACCTTGACAACATCATCATACATCTGACGGTAAGCAATATCAGTGGACCACTCGTGCTTGAATAGAGTATTTATCCCCACTAAATACTCTCACGTGTAATTTATTCAATGAAAGACTTCACAATAGACAATTGAGACACCATCGGCATGAAGGATATAGTTACAGGTTTTATAATCAGTATTTACATCTATCTAATAAGGAGGAAATCAACCGAGGTTGAAAATCCAGCTAACTATCTATGCACACCTCCCAATCAAAATGTTAACCTCCCAAAATTCCTCATCTTCATCATCTCCACTTTGTTTCGCAGATTTAATATCTCTGTCCCAGTTCCTCCAAATTCTCTTTCGCGCTCGCTTCCATTCTCCATCCCCCATATTCTTTCCAATCACGAATTGTTGATACTCTCCAAACATGCATCGGAAGGTAAGATCGTCTAATCTCTCTAGAGGTATACCGGAGCGTTGAGAGAAAAAGGCGAACAAATTCGATAAGGAGAGCGATTCCATGTATTGATAAGAGAAAGATATACTAGTGTCAATCAAGGAACTCGAGCGTTGGAGATAGAAGTCGAGTTTCGGTCCCGCCCCTTGGGGTGTTGTGGGTGTTTGTTGTGGCGTAGCTAGAGATTGAGTGGAATTTGAGTATTGAGAGGCAGTGTCGATTTTAGGCGTAGGGTTTACAATAGGTGTTTGCTGTTGTGGAGGATATGTCGCTGGATGATAATGATGAGAAGTGCTATTATACTTGGGAGTGGGTACAATGGCCGAGGCTTGTTGTCGCAGAGGGGTTTCAGACATAGATTGTGTACTAGGCGGATACTTTGACATGGAATCTGAACCAGTAGTAGGAATGATAGCTGGTGTTGGCGGCGTCGGTGGAAGCTTAGGGTTTAGTATAGCGGACATCGTAGTTGCTAATGACGGTTGAGATGCAGGGATCTGGATTGTTGGGGACTGCATTGGAGATGCACTAACTAAATCTATTATAGTTCGAGGGCTCGCGCCATTCAATCTACTTTTTGTATGATCATGAGGATTCGGCTCGTTGTAAATTTTCTTCTGTGGGTGCGTCGTAGTATTTTGTGGCTCAGCTAGCTGTTGTGGTTGCTGTGGCCGTTTTGGATACTGGTATTGTGAAATTGCTCTCTGTTGTCCAGCATACTCTGTATTGTAAGAACCCGGGGCTGTGGAAGCTTGTTGTGTTGGAGACGGGCCAGTATATTGGTTCCGGGGAAACGACGCCTGTACAGGGGAGAATTGAGCAGGGGAGCGATTAATAAACTGATGCTGTGGCACTGGACTTTGGATGATAGTGGGCTGAACAGGATGCTGGTTGGGAAGTTGACGGTGAAAGTTAGAAGTTTGTGTATTGGGGGGCTGACTGGTCGCGTTGTTATTGTATTGGCTTTTCGAAGATGTGAGAGGTCGGTTTAAAGATTGAGTTACAGGCTGATGAGACTGATTGGTTGGTGATGGTGTGCTTTCGTTCGACGACTTAATCGGAGCTTGCTTTGAGATTTCATTTTGAGAAGGTGGCGGTCGAACACCAAATTGCGATTGCGCACTTTGACCAGATGGATTAAACTGGTGGGTCTGTGACGATTGTGTTGAATTTTCATTAACAGAGTAACTTTGCGGCGGTGAATGTTCTGTATTAGATGGCTTTGTCAAAGGGTACTTGGCGCGCTGGCTCTCCTGTATTTGGTGAAATACTTTGGAGGCCTGACTTCCTGTGGAATGCGGGCGTTCTGTTGCTTGGGGTGCGACTTGTCTCGTTTCAGGCAGAGGCTCTTGACTTCCTATTTGGACCTGTGACGCACTTGCCACTGTTGGGACTGAAGTGGTGTTGCTCATCGTGCGGTTGTGTAACATATTAGTATTAGTTTGCGGGACGTATCTTGATGGCTGTTTGGGAATTGTGGAGATGTTATAATCAGTAGCTAACGAGTTCCACCATGGGTCCTGTGATCGATACAGTTCTGGAGAGGAGTTGGCTTGAATTTGGCTGTTAGTTTTCGGCCCTTGTGACTGTTGGTTGAGATGCTGGTTGATTTGTGCTGGGCTTGACTGTTGCACATTATCATGAACTCTATCTTGCGTCCCCGGTAGGTCCTTGAGATATTGTGATGTCTGAGGACTTAATAGTGAAGGGCTTTTGGAAAATTTACGACCCGTTCCACTATTAATAGGAGCCCCATGCCTCGTTTCCGTCTCGCGCAAACGCACTGATTCGGACTGACCCATATTCGCAGATTCTGGCCGCTGATTACGAGTTTCAATGTCAGCTCTAGTTTGAACGTTCTCCTTAAACTGCACTTGATTCCGAGCTGTAATCGCCCCAGGGTTGATTTTAATTTGTATGTCAAGTTTAGGAAGGTTGGACACTTCCTGCTTGCCATTCTGACAATCAAGTTTATTTTCCCCAGCATTGGGCAATCTTCTATTTTGTTGCATACCGTGCTGAAACCTCTCTTGCTCCATGCGAGAGATTTGTATGTTTTCGGGGATTGACGGTCGTTTTTGCGACATGCTGGAAGTTCGCTGGGATTGTGCTGGAGACCCTACAGAAGTCGCATGATGCATACCCACAGGACTCTTCGTATTTCCCCAATCCTCCGGCGATCGCTTTCGCTTTGAATGCATCTGTTCTTGCAAGAATAGGGGGTTCAAGATATTCTGCTCTTGCCTGGCATCGTAGTTGGTCGTCATATTTTGATCTAGATTCCGACCATGGTTATTCGCCTGCTGATTTGAGATTATCGGAGAGTTCATTGTCTTGATATGGTGCTGATAAGATGCTCCGGAATTAGTACCAATCTTTTCGTCCATAATTCTCAGATGACTGATGAGTTCTGGATGCGGCGGCTTGGGAGAGCGCTCTTGGTCAAAATCAGGCTGTCGTGGAGATTGTGTTTGCATCGCAGAAGGTGTCGCGTTTTGGGTCGCGGGAGCTGATGAAGCCAGTGGATATTGAACAGTACCAGATACCGTATTCTGCTTTTCGCATGGCATTGACTTCTTTCTTGACTTTGTTTTTCGAGGCTTGGTATCTGTTCGCTCCAACTGCCTTTTTCTGGAGGTTTCTTGCATCCACAAGTCATTTTTTGATGCTGTCGGTTTACTGACAAAGGCCATGGGATAAACTCCATTCTGAGAGTTCACCGGATATGAGTTGAGATGGACGTTCCTGGTCCAGGGGGGCTCTGATGATCTGCCAATTTCCCGTCCAATATTTTGCGAAAATATGGCTTCACTCTGTTTTGGCATCTCCTTCGTCTGCTGGCTGTGTCGTTGATCTCGAGGTTCTTGTGGTGCAATCGATGGCCTATATACACCCGGGAGACTGTGAGATATGGGAGCAGAAGGAGATTGCGTAGAAAGACTAGAT